ATCATTTTGAAATTTTTATCATTTACTTATTATGCTTCATTAAGTACTTAATCAAAATTTTATTAAAATAAAACCATTTAAACTGGGTGTTCGGATTTATATGTCACTTAGTATATGTTCAGAGTGAGTCCTGAAACTATTCGTTTCAGGTAGCAAAGACGTGGAAGTTAAGCAAATGGGTCCCACATGAACTGACAAATGATAACAAATTAAGTCGTCTTACCATTTGTTCAGCAAATCTTTCACGCAACGCTAATGAACCATTTCTTAATCGGTCACTAGCCTGCGACGAAAAATGGATCTTGTATTCGAATTCTAAGCGTTCGTATCATTGGTTGTCGCCTACTGACTCGGTACCACACACGCCCAAGGCTTCCTTGCACCCAAACAAGGTTTTCTTGTGTGATTGGTGGATAGCAACTGGAATTGTCCATTATGAGTTTTTGGAAAGGGATCAAAACATCACTGCTAACTTGTATTGTGAGCAGCTTCAACGAGTACAAACAGCACTCATCCAGAAACAGCCTTCTTTGATCAATCGGAAGAAAGTGATATTCTTGCAGGAAAATGCCAAAAGTGACCCGAGAAAAAATTTCTGAACTCGGCTGGGAAACGTTATCGCACCCGCCATATTCGCCCGACATTTTGCCTAGTAATTATCACTTTTTTTATCTATTGACAAGCGTATGAGGCACCGACAATTCACAATTCGAGATGGTGTAATAAATGCGGTCCGCCAATTTTTTTACTCCAAATCCAGGGAGTTCTACAATACCGGCATACAAGAATTGGTTCCACGTTGGCAAAAGGTCATTGAATGTGATGGTAATTACTTCGACGAATAAATACCGTCTTATTGTTTCTCAATAAAAATTTTATTTTTCAACTAAAAACCGCACGAACTCATTTTGTTACCTGTATACAGGGTGTTCCATAATTATTGCGACAAAATGATAGGGGTTATAGAGGGTATAAAAATATGCAATTTTGCCTCATAAACCCCTGTTCGTAAATATGCCGTTTGAGCACTACCGCTAATTTTACCTTAAGAGCTCATCGGAGAAACAAAAAATTCACCAGCTGCAAAATTTTCGTCTAGCACATTTCATGGTCTCGCCGGTTTGTAAAAAAAGCCTGCTGAGTTTACATTTTTGTTATCGTAAATTCTCCACACCGATTCATTTAATTTATCTGAGTGGTGCGTCAAACAAGATAGTAAATGACAGTACCTTAGTGTTAAGATGCAGCGTTATTCGTGTGCGGAACTTGCGGATATGCATTTAATTTACGGATAAGCTGGTGGTAACGCGAATCTACGCCCAACGGTTTCCAGAACGTCCTCATCCGCGTCACGCCATTTTTGCAAGGACTCATGGACGTCTTCGTGTCAGTTGCAGCATCAGAGACCTCGCGGGAGCAGGACGGCCCTTCACGAGGCGCCCAGTAGAATTTGAGGAAGCGATTCTGCATCATGTAGAGACCAATCCGTATACAATCGTGCGTGCTATTGCACATGATATGGGAGCGTCTCAAACTACTGTTTGGCGGGTTCTCCATGACCAGCAACTACACCCATACCACCTTTTAAAAGTTCAAGTCATGGGTCCAGAAGACTATCTGCCGCGTCGACGTTTTTGTTGTTGGTGGCTGCAGCAGGAGTTGAGGCAACCAAACTTTGGTCGCTACGTTTTCTTCACTGACGAGTACTGTTTTACAAAGGACGGTTATTTTAATAGCCGTAACAGTCACTTTTGGGATGAAGAAAACCCTCATGCCATACCCATCCATAGAGACCAACATCAGTTTTCAATTAACATCTGGTGCGGCATTGTGGACGAGCATATCATCGGGCCATATTTGCCTCCACCGCGTTTGTATGGGCATGCTTATGGTCGATTCTTACAGCATGTGCTACCGGAACTATTAGAAAATGTGCCACTGAACATAAGAGCCAACATGTGGTTTCAACACGATGGCGCTCCAGCCCACTTTTCTTTACAAGTGCGGCAGTATTTGGACGACAAATTTCCAAATAGGTGGATAGGCCGAGGTGGCCCTGTGCCTTGGCCTGCGCGGTCACCCGACCTGACCCCACTGGATTATTTTCTCTGGAGACATCTAAAAGCTTTAGTGTACGAAACTCCTGTTCCCAACCAACAAGAGCTACTGGGAAGAGTGATGGCCCCGTCCGCACATGTTCAGGACATACCGGGAGTATGCCACAGAGTTCGCCGATCATTGAACAACCGTGCACAGCTGTGTATTGAGCAAGGTGGAGGACACTTTGAGCAATTACTGTAGGTAAGCTGTTTCAAGAAAATGATCTTATTTTTGCTGCAGCCCGAACGGCATATTTCCGAACAGGGGTTTATAAGGCAAAATTGTTCATTTTGATGCCCTCTACAACCCCTATCATTTTGTCGCAATAATTATGGAACACCCTGTATATTGTTCAACAGAAGAGAATAATCAGATTGATATTCAACATTCGTAGAAGCGAATCCTGCAGAGATATCTTCAGAAGTAAAAAACATCATGAGTCTACCAAGCATTCATATTTATAAGTGCGCCCTTTTCACACATACAAACAAAACAAAATTTATACAGAACAAAAACATCAACACTCATTATAATACAAGGGCAGGTGAGAGTCTGAGTATTCCAAAACACACACTGACGCTGTTTGAAAAGTCACCGGAATACACCTGCATCAGAATATATAACAAACTTTCAGCTAACCTCAGGAATGTCAGTAGTATTGCTAGTTTTAAATGTAAACTACGAAAATTATTAGTTGAAAATTTTTTCTACTCTTTGTCTGAATACCTCGCACAGTGATATATTTTTTTAAACTTTTTTTATATGTGAATGTCTGTACGCCTTAAGTTGCCCTGTCTGTACTTTGTGAATGCTTATGTTTGATTCGTCTTTATTTTTAATTATGTGTACTATGTACCTCCCTCTTCGGACGAGTCTTATGTCATTTTTATGATCTACAAGACAATAAATGTATCTGTCTATCTATCTATCTATATCAAATATGAGAGTAGAATTACTGGGGCTGGGGGAGTATAAATATACCAACATCAAAAAATTGAAATATACCCTCTCTCACGCCCTGAAACCTTAACCCCTACAAAAGTATCAGGAGCCTGTGAAGCACCACAACAAAGTTTGAGCGAATTTTATTTTTTCGTTTTCTGTCCCTCGCTCCGCCGTCTCTGGACCGATTTTCAAAAACTACAAAGCTTTTTATCCTTGACATACGAGCCCCTTCCCAATTCAGTTGGCCAAACTATTGAAATCTTAGTTTTTTTCTTATCAAACAGAAATAATAAAAATGTAGCAGGCTGTTATAGGTTTAAAATATTAACAATGAATATTTTGATAATATATAGTAGAAAACACCAACTTTATCACTCCCTAATCAAATTTGCAGCATAAAAATAACACAAGTTGCAATTACAGCATATCAACCTATTTCCATTTCAATGCAAAATAAGTCTATAACGCATAGGTGGCTGTGAAAAATAAAGGCCATGACAATTGTTTTTATTAATCACAGCTGTCAGAATACGTTTAAAATAGTTTTGAGTAGTTAAGGTATTTCAAAATGGGCAGAGGAAAGGTTATTAGTTACTGATAATTAATTTTTTTAATTCTGGGAAATCAAACTCAGAAATTGCAACTTTGTTAGACTTATCGCGGTACAGTATGAGAAATATTGTTAGAAGATATAACGTAACTGGTTCAGTTAATATTATGCCACGATATGTGAAAAAAAGTAATATCACAAATGCCGACCGAAGAGCATTAAGAAGAATAATCGTGAAAAACAGGCGTGCCAATTATTTACAATTAAGTGCTCTGTGGAGTGACGCTGTTGGAAGGAGAATTTCGAGGTCCACAACTCATAGAGAGGCCCACAAACTGTGATTTAGCACTTGCAAGGTGAGTTTTCTTATAAAAAAAGGTGAAGTAAAAACCCTAAAGTTGCGAAACTTGTTTATAGGCCAAAGAAAAGCCACTATTAACCCCACTGCAAAAGAAAAATGAAGTGATGAGGCCCGATTCGAAGTTTGTGTTGGTGACAGTCGCAGTAAAGTTATTCGCAAAAAAATGAAGCATTCCATGTTGACTGTCTGAAGAGAAAAGTGACATTTTCAGCATCCATTATGGTCTGGGGTAGTATGTCATCAAAAGGAGTATGAAAACTTCATTTTATTGATGGAAATGTGGATACAAACAAATATTTGGCAATTTTAGAAGAATCGCTTTTACCAGTGATGGAAGAATGTTTGACATCCGGCCAAGATTTTGTGTTTCAGCAAGATGGTGCAGCGTGCCATACCTCAAAAAAGCCTATAAATGGATGGAAGAAAATAATGTACCACTTTTGAAATGGGTTTCTAGCAGTCCAGATCTGTCACCTATTGAAACTTTGTGGCACGAGGTGAAAAAGGTTCTACGACAACATCCTGCTCGTACAATCACCGAACTGAGACCAAAGCTTCAAGAGATATGGGATTGTTTTACACCAAATTTTTGCCAAAACTTGGTTGACACTATGCCCCAAAGAATTTCAGCCGTAATAAAAAATAAAGGTGATGTTACCCAGTGGTAATCTTTCAATTATTGCTTTGTTAACTTCGTGCATTTATTCGCACATTGTTTATTTGTTCAGATGTTCTATTAGTTATAGTATGTAAAATATGTATTTTTTACGACTAGAGTGTATCTAAAATGTTTTTGAGAAAATAAATTGTTTTAGAAGTAAATAGTTTCGTTTATAAAGGCATATTTTGGTACAAATCTTGAAGTGGACCAACTGAAGTGGGACGGGGCTCGTAATAGTAACATTCCATCGAAATCCATATACAAGTAATACCATTACTAGATACAGATACTATTGACCATGACTCAAAACAAAAGCTGTTAAAACTGGAATATTCAGAATAAATCACTTGAACTTAAGTTAATCGTGTAATTCATTGTTTCAGTGGAACCCAAAGTGAAATGCACCTCAGACCTGATGCGAATCGAAGTGCCGATATCCCCTGCGACGAAGAAGATATACATCGAAGGGCTTCGCGACTATCCGGAACCAGCATGTCGACCTCACACTGACCCCACCGGCAAGCTGGCGGTACTCGAGCTCGACCTCAGAGACGTCTACAAGTGTGCTGTCACCAGGGTGGTCAACAAACAAACGGTAAGACGGATAGATTAAAATAATTTTTTTCCCAAATTAATAATAATAATAATAATATTTATTCACTCAATGTACAAAGATAACAAACAATATGAGTAAATAAATATAAAATCAAAAGAGGCCAATAGAAGGCATCGCCTGTACATGGACCAATAAATTTATGTTGAAACTGTAGAATGCAAATGACAAAAAAGGATAAAAATTAGCTACAGTAGATTATGTATTTAGTTGATGTTCGTATTTATTAGTTTATGAATTTCAGTCCTAGATATAGAATGTAGCCACTTTTTTAAATTTCTTTTGAAACAATTTCCGAAACGTAAATCTTTTAAGTCTTTAGGTATAATTTCATAAAATTTAGGCGCTAAATAGAGATATGATCGCTGCATTATAGATTTATGCGGTTGATGAACTACTGTGTCACGAATTTTGTACCTGGTATAATGATTATGTTTAATTTTTTGGTCGGTGTTTACAAATTTATGGTAGTGAGTGATACTGTGTAAGAAATAAAGCTGTCTCATATCATACATTCGAACATCTGCGTATAATTTTTCAGTGGGATAAAGTTTCGGTTTTTTAAATATCATTTTTAGAATACTTTTTTGAAAAACATCTAAACTATAGATATGTGAGGAACATGCAGCTCCCCATGCTAATATACCATATGTGAGATGAGGCTCAATCAGTGCATGGTATAATGTAAAATCTAACTTTCTTTAAAATATAATTGACATAGATGTCCCATCGTAAGTGAGGATCCAAGACCACTCCAAGGTATTTTATGTTGGGCACTCTATTAATTTGCATTTTTTGATCATTAATATTGAAGGAGAAATTTGTGTAATTTGGCAGATGTCTAGCATAAGATCCAAATGGTAAAAAATGTGTTTTAGAGTAGTTAATGCTTAATTTTCTACTGTTAAACCACCGAATAATTTTGATAAAATCATTTTCAATTACATTTTTCAGATCAGACCAGTCAGTGCCTTCATATAATATTGCAGTATCATCTGCAAAACTAGTTATTTTGCCAACACAATTAATTTGGAAAATATCATTTAAATATATATTGAATAACAGCGGACCTAAGACAGTTCCTTGTGGGACACCACACTTAATATACATTTCTTTACTAAATGATCCTGATATCTGCACAGATTGTGGGCGATTTGACAAATAACTTTCGATCAGTGAGTACGCGTTTCCTCTGAAACCAATTCTCTCCAATGCTTCTAATAATAATTTGTGATTAACTGTGTCGAAAGCTTTCTTTAAATCAACAAAAATGCAGATTGAAGGGATTCTGTTATCAATATTTTGATGTATTTGATTTACAATTTTAGTGTGGTTCACTATCCCAATTTTTTCCGGTGCTACCACGAAAGTAAAAAGCAAGTCAAGCGACCTCATACCATCTTTTACTACCTAGCATATCATTTGTTTATCGTACAGCATGTTCGTTCGTTACGCCACAAAAAGCATGGCCCTCACGCATTGCTCCTCGTTATACGTATAGCGTGCTCGTCTCACTATTAACCGCAAGTTAATCTTTAATAACCACTGTTGTCCGGTCTTTGAGTTCCAGTCAGAGCGAGATCAGTTTTAATGGAAACGAAATGGACCTTAGTACAGGCACTATGTCAAATAAAACGGGTTCGAAACCTCTTCCACGAGAATTAGTACTAGACATGAAAAAGTGTAAGCTTAAAAATACAAAATTTTCAATGAAATGTAAGCTTACAATGTCACACCATGTGAGATTAATAATTGTTTGGTATAAATGTACGGTATGTATATTGATAACATAAACTCATCCACTGGCGGATTTAGAGGGGGAGAGCGCGGTGGCGCTCCCCCCTAGATGTCTGACATTTGCTTTTGCAATCTAATAGCACTGTGTTACTTTCTGTTACATCATGGTGACAGAGGCATACTATACTGTTTTGAAAATTATAGGTCTTTGAAAAAGATATAGAAATTTCACACTCTACGGCAGTCTGTCAACTCCTGTTACTACAAATATTAACTTTTTTTGGATTTTATTTTACAATGTAATGATGAATAATGCATCTTCGAACTGGTGTCTCAACCTTACTGCCAACTTTTCTCGTTCAGGAAAAATTGCCACTTATTTCCCAACCAAGTATTCCAAAGTAAAACTTTGCTCAACTTTAGCTGGCTGTACTGGAAAAAATGTACTACGAAAGTTTGGCAAGTAACCTTAAAAGTTGGCGCATTTAATAAGGATTTCAAAATGGTATAACACTTAGAAGATTACTCGTTAACTAATGCACAATTTTTATTTGAAGAAAAACTGATGAAAATTTTTCAAAATTTCCTAATTAAACAGCGATTATGAAAACGCACAAGGACCCTTAAGGATAACTGTTTGCACAACAGTGGGCGTCAAAATGATGCTGATGATGATTTACCTTTACAGCAAATGCTCAAACTGTTTTCCTTCAGCCGCAATACACGCTCGACATCTTCTTAAAAAAGATCGGGTTATTAAACGAGCGAATCCACGGTTATTAACAAACTCAGCTGCTTCCAATAGTGTTTGCCGTAGCTCAGCTATATTTTGAATCGGCTTGAAATACACGTTTTCTTTTACAGTTCCCCAGTAAAAAAATCTAAAAGATTCAAATCAGGTGATCGGGCTGACCACGGTATTGTACCAGACCGCCTTATCCATCTGCATGGAAAGTTTTGATCGAGATACTCTCTCACTGAGAGTGCATAGTGCGCTGGGCAGCCATCATGCTGAAACCACATGTCCCTGTAAATACTCAGTGGCACGTCCACCAATAAACTTTGTACATGATTTTTCAATAAATCCAAACAAACTTCAGCAGTCAAAGTCTCTGGGAACTCAAACGGACCGATTATTTTACCATTTAAAATTCCTGTCCAATGGTTTATCTTGAAGCGATATTGAGATTTATCTTCTCTCATCAAATGTTCATGTACCCATCTTTCTTAAATGTGGTCTCATCCGACCATAAAATTTTTTCAAAGAATTGTGAATCTTTCCTGTGTCTTTCTAATATTGTGCGACAAAAAGCAACTCGGGACTCATAATCCCGGGGCAGGAGAGGTTGAACACGCTGTATATGGTATGGATGAAGCACATCACTTACTTGCTATTGCACACTTTGATACCGATCAGTACTCCTTCGTTTACTGCGCATCTTTACATGTTCGTGCTTGTTGATTTCGTACTGTTACTAATTTTGGATTCGTGAACTGGACTGTTGATCGCTTGTGATTTGGATTTGGACTGTTTAATTGCTCTTCAAAACAACATTTGCTTTCCTTAGACTATCTTTGATAGTGTGATTGTTCAGTGCCGCTATGTCCGTGTACACCGTACAAGAATGCAGATGCAACGCTAGTGCTGCAGCGAGACTTTACTGTGAGAGGTACCCGAATGCAGCTCGTCATCCAGATCATCGAGTGTTCACAAATGTGCACCGCTTACTGTTCTCAGAGGACCAACTGCCAAACCAATCACACGGTGAGGGAAGATCTTTCCTTCCTTACGAAGACGTGGTGCTAGGAGCTGTCGAAGAAGACCCGAGTACTTCAGTGCGTGCAATAGAACTAAAAACAGGTGTGCCCATAGAATCATGCCAAAAAACGTGCTCCATCCATACCACGTACAGCGTGTTCAAGCTCTTCTGCCCCGGAATTATGAGCCCCGAGTTGCTTTTTGTCGCACAATGTTAGAAAGACATAGGGAAGATCCACGGTTCTTTGAAAAAAATGTATGGTCAGATGAGACCACATTTAAGAAAGATGGGTACATGAACCTGCATAACTTACACGAGTGGCACGTAGCAAACCCACATTTGATGAGAGAAGATAAATCTCAATATCGCTTCAAGATAAACCATTGGACAGGAATTTTAAATGGTAAAATAATCGGTCCGTTTGAGTTCCCAGAGACTTTGACTGCTGAGGTTTATTTAGGTTTTTTGCAAAATCATTTAGAAAATTTATTGGAGGACGTGTCACTGAGTATTTACAGGGACATGTGGTTTCAGCATGATGGCTGCCCAGCGCACTATGCACTCTCAGTGAGAGAGTATCTCGATCAAAACTTTCCAGGCAGATGGATAAGGCGGTCTGGTACAATACCGTGGCCAGCCCGATCACCTGATTTGAATCCTTTAGATTTTTTTACTGGGGAACTGTAAAAGAAAAAGTGTATTTCAAGCCGATTCAAAATGTAGCTGAGCTACGGCAAAGACTTTTGGAAGCAGCTGAGTTTGTTAATAACCGTGGATTCGCTCGTTTAATAACCCGATCTTTTTTAAGATGTCGAGCGTGTATTGCGGCTGAAGGAAAACAGTTTGAGCATTTGCTGTAAAGGTAAATCATCATCAGCAGCATCTTGACGCCCACTGTTGTACAAACAGTTATCCTTAAGGGTCCTTATGCGTTTTCATAATCGCTGTTTAATTAGGAAATTTTTAAAAATTTTCATCAGTTTTTCTTCAAATAAAAATTGTGCATAAGTTAACGAGTAATCTTCTAAGTGTTATACCATTTTGGAATCCTTATTAAATGCGCCAACTTTTAAGGTTACTTGCCAAACTCTCGTAGTACATTTTTTCCAGTACAGCCAGTTAAAGTTGAGCAAAGTTTTACTTTGGAATACTTGGTTGGGAAATAAGTGGCAATTTTTCCTGAACGAGAAAAGTTGGCAGTAAGGTTGAGACACCAGTTTGAAGATGCATTATTCATCATTATATTGTAAAAATAAAATCCAACAAAAGTTAATATTTGTAGTAACATGAGTTGACAGACTGCCGTAGGGTGTGAAATTTCTATATTTTTTTCAAAGACCTATACATATAATTGTCAAAACACATACATAAGAATTTTTTTAAATATTTTTCTGATAGCTGTTATGACTTTGCCTATCACCGGGTTTCGGCTTGACGTCGACTTCTGGAACACCATGTATACGAGTA